ACATGAATATCCTTCGAAAAAGTGGTTACTGCCCGAGTATCACCTTTAATGTTATCAATGTTCTTGTTGTCCTGGCGCTATCTGCTTCTACTTTGCTCGATGACGAATTATTGATTGATTGACTGATTGTTTTGGTGAATTTCGTTGAGAATTCGTCGTTTTTCGTGCATCTACTGATACTGATAACTTGGCTCGGTCATTGCTTCGATTGGCGTTCGTTCGTTGACGTGCTGCTGTCACCATTTCCCTCATTAATTTATGGCTTTCTATTTTGCAGACCTTGTATGTCAGAGGGGCCTAGCCAACGGGTGAGAAGTCGACCTCGCGGTCGTGGCGAGAGCTTCTCAATATCGAGAGGCGACTCGTCACCATTCGGAGCGCATCGACTTTTACGAAAATCAACTACGTCATCGTTGACAAACGAGTGTGTAACGAATGTTGAACCAGTTCTTCTAACTCAACGATGGACGGTATGTTTCTCTCTGTGCTACTTTTGTATTGTCTTTGCATGCGTTTGCAATAAAGGTTTGCAGCGGGCAGAGATGATTGGGCGTTGTTGGGGTAAGGATACTTCGGGGACTTCGACTCATGCTCGGGATTCGTTTTTGGTGGTGGGGAAGGGGGGAGGAGGTGTATGTACATCACCTAAAGTTACAAGTTTTTCCTAAAATTCCTAGAGATACTCGAAATTCTCGGAGATACTTGCTCGATGCCTAAGAATTCATTTGAGCGGGTGCTTTTTGTTCTCTTGTCCAGTGTTGGAACCTTCCCCAACGAATGAGTTTTTCTCTGAATTTCCTTGAGACGTGATGAGGCGCAGCTATAGCAATTGAATCAAGGGGGGATTCAGGGTGTAGAGTGGGGTGTGAAATTGACATCAAGAGGATCGCACATGCGGTGAGAGGTTGTTTCGAAACGGAGAGGAGAAGAAGCGTGTCGTATAAACAGAAGGAGATTGAGTTCTAAGGGTCAGATTTCCCTTGTCTCAGTGTGAATGAAGCGACCGCTTGAAAGAAAGGAGACTGGCAGGTAGATGTCGTACAAATCAAGGGAGAACGTATCGGATATACTATTATCTTGACTTTACAATCAGCAGTTTCTGCTGTTAATGCTTCTCGCCAGGGAAATGGGTTGCTGAAAAAGGCGATCAGTTAATCACAGAAACGGTGCTGTGTAGCGCGCTTCATAATCAGCGTGGTGTACACAGACATGGGAATGTATCTGGCAAAATATCTGGCAAAAATATGTATATTTTTTCGATATTGTGAGCTGAGCACTGACGTTCTGTTTCCGGATATGAAGGCTCGTATCTGAAATGTCAGATAATGCCTTTGCTTCTGGTCTTTTGTAGCCGGATTCCGAACATTCGGGATTTTCACCCATGCAAGCTCAGAATGGGCACATTATTCTCTTTACCAATTAATAGGGGTCATTGTCAAGCCTGCACCTATCGCGCTCTTGACTGGCTACCTTTCACTCTTTTTTCAGAGATCATTTAATATATATTTTTATTTAGGTAAACAATTTCTCGTCATTATTGAAGTTGTCTCAGCCCGGCTTGTGCCTAAGAAGCAGTGTTTTTAAGTAAGTAATTTTATGGTTCAATAAACGTAGCGAAAGTGAGCTATAGGGCGAAATAAATGGTGGGCGAACATAATGGTCTTATAATAAGCGATTATCAGTTATAAGGATGATTGCTACATGTTCAAATAATTATTGTTCCAAGCTTTTGGTGATTCTTATATTGCGTGTTCTCTGATTTCTTCCCTTTTTCCCTCTATATAATGTTGTTGCTACCTTGGGAACGATCGAGTTGAAGAAATGCTGCTGCAGAGTTGGGACAGTACCTGCTAATGAATTGTCAACTTGATGAGTGTCAGTTTGATAAACGAATACTTTTCAGAGATCCTACCATGCCCGATGCGTGTTGGCAGCTTTGCCTTTACCCTGGTGGTAAACGTCCAGAAAATGCCAATAATGTGTCGTTGTTCTTGAAGATGTCTGCCACTTCTCCACTCAAAGAGGTTCCTGATCTTCTTTTCGGGTTTAGACTTGCCATTCATTACCGTTATGTTTGAGTTCCATAATTTTGAGGGTTTTATTACTTTACTTGTCGTGCCTGCATTGTTCTGCTTTGGTAAAGCATTTAGAACTGGGAGACTGATTTATTTGGAGCCGATAATGTCAGTAGCGAGTAGGGAAACTTTTGCCTCAGTTCAGATTTTATACATTCATCAAACTTGTAAGGCTGCTTCGCTTAGGTTTTCAAAATCGAATCTTCTTCGTTTGCTCGACTTGTTAGAGCGGAATAGGAGACCTTGTCACATTAGGAGCATCGCTGACCTGATTTTGCGTTAAACCGTCGCTCAGCGGGTTGCTGCACTATGACGCGGCGGTTGAGAAAAATAGAATTTTGGCTGCTATGATGCAGATCAGATTCTTTGACCGTTCACCCCTTAAAGCTTCCATAGTGCGGAGAATAACGGAATAATGTTTGCTGTGTAAATAAGCCAAAACAAGTCCAGTTTCTTTTTTTTCTAAAGATTCGACGTAGCTTTGTCCACCTTTGCTTTCAAACAGGTGCAAGTCCAAATGTGATTTGTTTCAGGTTGTTGTGAAAGCCGAGTACCGTTTCTTTTTTCTGGACGAAGATGATGAGATAAAGTTCAGTAATGTGAATATTGGTGATTTTCATGCAAAGCCACCAAAAGGAGGTCATTCATGGGGTCTACGCAACATTCCCAGACAGAAGGTTAATATGGTTCCCTTTGGTTTCCAATTGTTTCGCCAGAAATCAATATTTCACATATATGATCCTTTACTCGCTTTGTTTAAGGTACAAAACAGTATTCGTGCTGATCATTCATTGGTGATATCGTGTACGATAGAACTTTTACCAGACGCAGGTCGTATTCCATGCAGACGGGTTGAACCAAGCGCTCTTGTTATCACTGATATGGCAGAGGTGTCACGGGTTCACATGCAAAATGGTACGATCAATTTTTTTTGGAATATTTGCTCCTTTAGTTATCAATTGGTCACATTTGTTTTCGCATCATTTGCTTGCTGAAAGCTGTAGATTTTGTTCCAGTGGAGGGGAAAATATTTTGACAGGTATTTACGGTTGGGGACTGAAAAATCTTTTTTTATTGGGTTGTTTTTTACAGAGTTAGCGATGTTTTCCGGTGGTGATTGTACTCCATATTCGGATCTGAGTGTTGCCGCAGGACCTGAGGAGGATCGGGTTGTGTTTGCTGTGCACAAATATAAGCTCATAGCACATTCGGATGTCTTTCGTGCTATGCTAGGACATAATATGGAGGAGAGCAAGGTAGAAATATTTGCTTTATCATTAGTGTCTTGATTAAAAGTGGGAAACACGTTTTCTATTTTCCTTTTTTATTATTTTGTAAAATTCATTTGTTATGGTGCTAAAGACGGTAGTGCCTCGAACAATACAGCTGAAAGTTTGTTCAAAATCATTCGTTTCAATAGAAGTCAGAAATTTTTGCTCCAAATTGGGTAAATTTCATGTATTTTTCCAATAATTTCATTCAGTAATTTCAATCTCATTTCGGTTTTTTACTTAACAAATTTCCATAGGCTTCATCGCAAGTTGAATAGTGAGTAATCTGTAGTATCAAGGATTTGCGGATGTCGTTTGGAATGTAATTGTTCTCTAGCAAGAAGTTAATAGTTCATTTGAAATATGCTGTCGTTTCTGAGTTAATCATTGACTGGTGCTTCCGTCGCGGTCTAGACACATTGATCAGGTTGCGTTTCTGAGTACTAGGTAAAGTGCTTCTGCAACTCCTCTTCTCTAACCGTGTCCAAAGTGGGGAGTTGCGCCGAATTGCGCCGCTATTACACATATGGCACACGGAACACAATCTTTATCGATATCGCCTACGACGGCCAGGTCTTCATGCCATCGGGATCGGCAAACAAATACTAGACTTCTGAGAGGTTAAAAACGCTGATCTGTGCATCAGCGGGCTCTAGCAAAACGTTGACTGACCAGGTACGCACACAAAGGATGCAAATGAAGGAATAAGGATTCCATGATGAAAGTAAAGGGGCGAGCTCGCCTGTAAATGGGATCTATCAACCCTAGAGACATGATCCCTCACACCTTTACCTTATGCAGGTTGCAGTTTTACGAAGTTGCTGATTAGGGTTTGGATTGCTTTCCAAGCATTGCTTTCCCAGAGCTTGTTAAATATAAAATTTTAGCACTAGAAATTGTATATAAATTGTATATATGTATATATATCAAGAAATGTATTGAATTCAAGCGGTGTTCAATATTTACCAGATGGATTTCAGACGAACATGATTATAATAGAGGAGTTCTCGCCAACAGCTGTAAAAATAATGCTGATTTTCTTGTACACCGGCTCAGTATGTCCACAGGAGTTGGAGCTAGAGGTAGGTAGTTGAGTTGAATTTTTTTCATTGTTTTATTGTGATCCCGTTATAGATTATTTGTAGAGACTTTCTCTTTTTTTGCTATTTGCCGTTCGATTTCAGGATGCGTCTGACGTCATGCAATTGGCAGAAAAATATAACATCCCAGCACTGAAAACCATGTGTGAGCAGGATCTCATATCGAGGTACTTGATAATCTCTTGCTTTTGTCAAATAGCTGGAACAATGAAAAGAAGAGCAATGATCTAAGAGAACAGTATGCTATGGGAGGATCTTATTATCTTTGGGCACTTTTTCATATGCAAAATCCAGAGCGTCAGTGCTTTTGTTTTCGGAAGAAGTTATTATAAAAGGTTTCCATGTTGGGGCTTTCATATATTTTCGTGTATTAGTGAAAATAAGCTTAAAAACTGACGAACAGTTTTGGAGCCGTTGTTTTGATTTTCGGGTATCGTTTAGCGCCATTTTTCTTGGCTATAAATAGCGACGGCTATTCCTATCTGCAGAGGAGATGTTTTCTCTTAAGAACAAAACATAATAAATGATTAATGACAGGTATACTCCAAAACAACCCTTTTTGTGTTGTGTAAGCGTTCGGAAGAAGGAGAATGATCCCGTATTTTCATAAACAATCCCTGAATGCACAATTTGTGGTTTTCTGGGCTGAAAAGGGAAGAGGAATGGATGTGATTGGCGCAATACACGGTGTATATGTTTTTTTTTTGAAGAGTTGAGGGGCAATCTCGAAAGATTTTGTTGACATGGATTATTGATTTGGTAGCGGTGCTAAATAAAGTATGATTTCAGGGTGTGCGCTGCAAATGTCATCGATTGTATGGAGTTAGCAGATTTTCACCAAGCCAGCCACTTGTATGAACATTGCCTTGATTTTGTGAGTGCTTCATGATCATTGACATTTCCAATTTTTGGGTTCTCATTTGCGGAATTGTTCTTGTAGTGAATATTTCAATAATAATACAATATTTTTGCGGTTCAAACAATTAGTTAGGCTGATTGAATTTCAAAACCACATTTTCTTCTAGTCTGTCGTTCTACTGTTATTCTTTTTTCCTTGTCTGTGGATTGCAAAATGTATCTTTTTCATGTTGTTTTAAACTTATTTGTGCTGGCTGTACTACACTGACTTTGGCTGCGCCGTAGAGCCTTTTCTACAATCCTTCTCTGTTTTGCTTTCACGATACCTTTTTTCACCTCTCTGTGATCCTTTAACTATCTTTTTGGAAGTATTTCTGCATGCATTACCTTCGCTGTCTAAGTCAATCATTTATTATCTTAATTTCTTTCTCAGTAAGGGTAATATGGCATGCCAGACTATACTTTGGACTATTTTTTCAAGAGTTAGTTGAACCTATTCCGCCACTCCTTCCGACCTTGCATAGCGAATGCATATAGTCGCATTCATAGTAATCGCTCGTAGGTCATGGTATCGTCTAGTCCGATCCAAGATCTAAATGTAGGCTCATTACGTGGGTGAATTAGTACGTATTGGTTGCATACTAATAATTACCAAACAATTGTGGGATTACGGTATGAATTCAGATTTGAACTGAAATTGCGTATTTGCGAAAGGTGCCTCTGCTCAATTTTTCTCGACGGCGAAGATTTTGTTTTGTATTTTGGTTGCTGTTTACATTATATTTCATTTGTTTAGATGAATGCGAACAGATGCGATACACTGAACACTGAATCGTGGTCAGCGTTGAAGGAACGGAATCCGAGACTGAGCAGCTCAATCATGGAACGGATGATCCGTTCAGATCACAGTAACTCGCCACCTGTAAAGAAAAGCAGATTATAGTTATCGATTGTAGGTGTTCTGCTGAGGTTGTATGCAATTATTATTATTCCAGTTTCAAAACTGCTATGGTGCTTCATTTCTTCTTTTTTTGTAGCAATTGAAGAGTCTTGTCCTTTTTAAAATGGCAATTCGTAGCGATTATCTGCTTTGATATTAGATAAGATGAGGGATTTTCTACTAAGAAGAGTTCATCATTAGCGCGATACTTGTATAAACCGCGTTACGTTATTTTTCATATAGATTTCAATCATTCAAAGTTTGCTGCCTCATTGTGCTCTCCATAGCAGTAAGTGATTCACTGT